TTAAACCTTATTTTCAATAAGCAATCCTGAAAAATATTTGGGGGTGCTTAACTTTTTTCCAGGTGTATATATAAAAATCATATGCAGATGGGGATTTAAATATTGTCTAAAAGTTTATTAGTTAAAATATTACAGAATATATAAAAAAGTAGATTTTTGCACAGCTTTCACACCGCTTCCGAGTAACAACGGAAAATGCCACCAAATACTAATCCAGCTCCAAGCTTAGAAAAAATTAGCCACTCTCTCAATGTGTATTCAAAAGTTCCCACAGGGAAACAAAGCTTATGTTCTGTAGGTTTTTCCAATAATAAAAAATAATGACCGACATATTTTTTGTTTAAAAATTTTAATCTACAGTCCACGAGTTACGTTTCATTTTTAAAAAAAATTGAGTGATATATTTCAGGTATGTTTAAAGATAAATTATTTGAAAAAATTATAATTTCTCTGCATCGGGTGCTACCTTGTCATTTCAAAGTTGTGGTGATAATACAGGCTATTCTAAATATGATAAATCAACCGATATGTTTAACCCTTTTTTGTAGGCATTGTACAAACCAACCTATTGAACTCCCAATCATAAGGCAATACAAACTTCTCTAATAAGCCTTCCCTCTAGTTCATCACTTCAACATTAGGGACGACTTAGTGCAGATAACCTCGAGTAGTTTAACGTGAAATGCAAAACTAACAGACAAACAAAAATACAATCCTCCCGCAAAAATCACAGAAGATAAGTCAATATTAGCCCTATTGTAGGGTTCCTCCGGTGGGTCATCGGTAATTTTACGGACTTACAATGCAAATATCCAGGGTTCGATTCCCCGCGGCGGATACAGTAGCTGGCTCAATGTGGCTTTGGTCTAAAACATACACCAGACGCTCTCTTGTAGGTGATTCTTCTAAACAAGCTTCGTCTCGTCCATTTTTGGTTAAGATCAAACTAAACCGCATTATCAATACACGAAATATTGGCTTACCTGTAAGATTAGACTGTTGTTTCGTTAGAGGAGGAGAGTTAGCAACGTCGACTGAGAAAAAAAAAATAGAAGCATTGTAAGAAGCATTAGAGAAATATGTTATTTCATTTTTGAAACAATGTCTGGAAAGACCCTATCTTGATAACTTTAACAAATATAGCTCTCTCTCTCTCTCTCTCTATATATATATATATATTATTCTATACAACTAGTGAAATTAGAAAGTCTAATAGAATTTGTCAAAAATGAAACAGCCATCTAGAGGAAAGATCTGTTTACTAAATCAGTGAAAGAATTTTTGAAACATTTTATGCGTGTATAAAAGTTTTTCAAAATTTGTTTCTCGCAGTTTTTTTTTTTTTCATTATATACACTCGTGAACTACGTCTATGTAGTAACGTAGTTTGAAGCCATACAATTAAAATATATAACTTCTTAAATGAGAAAGATGTTGTTTAACTTCATTAAAATATCTTGCAATTAAACTTTTTCGTTCGCTTTACGTACATATACTAATACTATATTTCTTCGATATGGGTTGAACTACATCTGAAGCTTCAAGCGCCAGTTTAAAATCGTGTTTCAGAGTAAAGCATGAAAGCTCTAGGTTTCCTCTATTTTGTTAAAGTTAAGCAACGTTAATCATTTATATCGAAATACCATAACCACATGTTACACATATCTTAGGCTAGTTTATTTACGCCTTACTTCAAGCTTTGTATTCCACAAAATTTATTTAGAGTAAATTATTTCATTCTGAGAGCATCTAATTCGTCCACTGTTCTTACTGGATTGTACGATATCCTCCTTACATGCAAATCCTTTTGTATTATTCTGTGTGTGTTAATGAAAAACACGATCACCAATATCCAGTTTGGGTATTTTTTGCGCGAACATTTTTAGCCGCGGCTCATAGAATGGCTCTGAGTTTTGTTTTTCGTGTAAAAACCAACTCTTGACCGATTTGAGATCTAATTACAGTCGCAGCTATTGAAGATTCCCTCTTGTTTTTTGAATTATTTTGTATCGTAAACTTCTTGAAATTGTCTCCAGAGGGAGACCTAGCACTTGGGTTTCCTACCTTAAACTGGATGAGAACCCTATATGACAACCAACTGAAACTTCTGGCTTCGAACTGCAACAGTCAAGTAGCTCGATAATGATATATGATACAGCTCGAAGCTGTAATTCTAAGGTAGTCATAATGTGCTAGTTATTACCTTATTGAACGAACCCGCCTTATGATTGTTGTATTTAAAATTTAGCACTATGTTTTTTTAAAGTGCAATAAATAATTCAGGGTTATGAAAAACTTCCGTCTTTAGCAGGACATTTCAACTCATGTTTGTGTTTCACTTTCTTTTTCCTCTTCCCTTGTTACAATAATCTACTAGGGAGTGATTAACCTTGCGAGAAGTTGTTTCCGTAATTCTGTTGTATCGTGATAACTGCGTGCATTTCGATCCGCTGCAAGGGCCAGTCTTAAAAAATCGTGATGGTGGCGAGTTTTGCATAACCTTACACATCTTGGCTTCACAGCCGGAAATCATGGTCACAACAACCGACTATTTCCACTATTAGGAAAGTCAGAGAATTCCGCGAAGAACATTTAATATGGTTATGGCACGATTTGCTGAATCAATTACTACTGCTTTATCTGGAAAACTTGTGGGAATGAACAATGTCTTTCTCTAGTACAACATTAAGAAAATAAAATGTAAAAATATAGTAGATTCCTATTTTAAATAAGAGAATGAATCATGGAAAAAAAAACAAGTGTAGTAGACAAGTTAGTGTAATTTTGAAAGATCTCGCGTGAAAGGTTGGTAGAACATCAATACATATAAAAATTAACTTTACTTCCCTACTTCGATTGTCAAAAAATGAACTTTCACGAAAGAATTCCACTGAAAGCCCGTTACATATCCACTCCATATTTTAACGAGTAAATATTCAAAACGGTGACCACTTAATTAACAAATCTGACATACAAATATTTTTTAACTATCTACAGTTTTCAAAAATTTGCACTAGTCAAACTCAACACTGGTAATATAAAGTAATTAATTCTTCTCAACAATGTGAATAATAATCTTAAAGAATCCTAGGCCTTGCAGCTCGCGACCATTTGTCGCGAAAACGCGCTACGCAGTTTAGGGCCATGGATACGATATAAAAGTTAACTGTAGATGTTCTTTCCATAATCTTTTTATTTGTACATTGCGGCTCGAAATAAAGTGTGTATCTAATAGCATTTTAGCGTTTCATAGAATCATTTTTCGCTCATCTTCCAGCTCAACTGAAATAGTCATGGATTTGAGCGATAAATTTATTGGGCAGTGACTTGTAGGAGACAAAAGAAAGATATGAAATTCTATTTTTTTGCACACCTTTGATTTCGAACAAATCAGAAGGAATGTGAAAAAAAACCCCATCTACAATTAATTTGTTTTTGTAACGTTATGCTTATTGATTTTCCATTATTTCGTCAGCTTTCATTGCACCGTCGTGTAGAATACCTCTTTAATAATTCCACCATTTTTAGTTTCATCGCAGAGATTTGACGCCTTTCAAGATACTTTTATGAGAAGTTTGCTCAAATCTCAATCTTGGCATTAGATTTTTGTCCACGCCCTAGAAACCCGCCATATTTGTCCAAACCTCAATCTTGACTTTAGAAGACTTTCCAAACCACTGTCTTTACGAGATATTTGTGCAAATTCCAATCACGACGTCAAAAGTTTGTACAAGCCTCAATTTTGACATTCAGAAGCTTTTCAAAACCTCAATCTTGATATTTATGAAAACCACAATCTTGGAGGTGTTTGTGCAAACCACATTCTTGACATTAAAAATTTGTTCAAACTCCATCCTTGATGAGATTCTTGTCCAAACCCCAACCTTGATATTATAGGTTTGTCGAAACCGCAGTCTTGAGATGTTTGTTGAAATCCCAGTTTGACATTTTCAGTTTGTTTAAAACTCAATGTTGACATTAGATGTTTGTACAATTACCAATCTTGAGATTAAAAGTTTGTGAAAACCTTAATCTTGATGAAATGTTTGTCCAAGCCCCAATGTTGACATTAGAAGTTTGACCAAATCCCAATTTTGACTTTTGTCCAGGCCCCAATGTTGACATTAGAAGTTTGACCAAATTCCAATTTTGACTTTTGCCCAAACCCTAATCTTGACATTAGAAATCTGCCCAAAACCATTCTTGACACTGAACTTCCCCTCTATTGCCTGATGTAATAATATATGTGTGATTCATGGTAAGGGACTGTTTATTTGTAAACTGTGTTTTCTTGTGGTGTAGAAATAAAATACACATTTATTCTGTTCAAATATAAGGTCTGGAACCTAACAATGCAATATATTTCTTTTTCTTTTATAATTCCACTAAATTCAAACATTAAAAAGTTACATTATAATTTTTATATCATTTTCATCTTTCATGTAAATTATTTAATGATTATTTTTTTTTACATTATGTCTCCAGTAGTGTTGAAACAGTTAGTCATGATAAAGGAACAGATATACTTATTAGTCAAAACGTAAAAAAAATGAAGGTCCAATACTGAAAATGAATAAATTACATAGAGGGTGTTGTGTGGAATGTGCAATACATTTGATGTTAATTAACTTCAATATATATGGCAGAGGACACAAGTGTTTATATAACACAATTCTACAGTGGAAACCAGTAAAAGTAGGGATGAAAGCTTATAACATAATTATAGAGTGAAAACCAGTAAAAGTAGAGATAAAATCCTATATAACACAATTTAACAGTGGAAACCAGTGAAAGTATGGATAAAAGCCTATAACTCAACTACAGAGCAGAAACCAGTAGAAGAAGAGATAAAAGCATATATTACACAATTATATATAGAGTGTAGACCAGTAAAAGTAGGGATAAAAGTCCATAGGATACAACTCTGGAGTGTAAACCAGTAAAAGTAAAGATAAAAGCCTATATGATACTACTCTGGAGATGAAACTGGTAAAATTGGAAATATATCAAACTATTTTTTTCAGGACAGCCAATTTTATAGCAAATACATACAAAGTTTATGGCCTCAGAATTTTGATAAGTAACACTACATTCTTTTGATTACATCTCCATATAAATACATATATTAGTCTAAAAATCACGAAATTCTACAATTTTTGATCGTCTTCAAATAATTCACAAAACCTACATGTTAATCCTGTAATACATGGATAAAGACAATGATTTTTGAAAAAGTCAAAAATACTTAATTTTCATTTTAACAACACTTAGGAATAGAAATGCCGTTTTAGCTGCAGTGGAAATCATTGTAGAGGAAAGAAGCAACTTATGGTAAGGATGTCGATCATTGTTGTGGTTAGTAGCCTATCGAATTACCCAAGTCTAATTGTTAATTAGTTACTAATTTCTATTTATTTTATATTGTTATTTGTGCATTCTAATTAGTACTTAATTTAGTAATATACAATATAAAAATAAGCAAATGAAATTTTATATTATTACTAGACACTAAAAAGAAAAATAAATAAAAATTAGAAGCAAATTACTAATTAAACTTAGGCATTCATACAGGTTGCTAACTATGACAATGACAGAAAATGCTGTTGAGATATGAGGTTAGCACTACATGTTCTCATGAAAGCTATTTGCACATACCTAGATACAGTAACGCTTACCTTTAACTGGAGATAATTCTTCTGATAGAAAGGAAGATGGTGAAGGAGCATTAATACTGCTGTCTGGTTATAAGGAGAAACAGAAGTGTTAGTTGAGAGATTTAGTAAGAGAAATAAACAGAAATGTTAGTATTGCTGTAAAATGACAAAAAAAAAGAGGTTAGTACCATCCATTAATATATAGAATAGCAGGGCTTACTAGTTCTAAACATTGTTAGTAATTTTCAAGAGTTCATTTATTATCAAACAAAAAAAGCTGAGCCCACCATGAGAATCCAGTCCGAATTTTAGCATTATAAGCTCTCAAGCTTACTACTGAGTGACCAAGGGTCATTTTTCAAGAAAAGTCATTTCTGTTAATACTGTCCCTCAGAAACGCATAGAACAAACACAAATGTCAGCATCATCCCAAATATATTTTATGACTTTAGATTATTAAAAAATATATAAAGATGAAAGAAAGAATTAAATACAATACTAAGTTAAGTGCCAGAGTCTGAAATACATTAATAAATGTAAGCTGAGAAATGTTAGGATTGCAATAGATTTAAGTGCCAACTGCAAACTCCGTACTATAATTAACTGAATTACAAACTGAAAACCCAGTTTTGATGACAGAAATGGAAGATGAATATACTACAACATAGAGAAATGTTAGAATAATGCAGGAATAAAATACTGAAATGAATTAGTGTTTCTATTAAATTTAGGAATGTAAACTAGTATTTCACAAGTATGGGACAAATGAATAATTATTATTAAAATAATAAAGAACTCTAACTGTATTTTCCACACAAAAAATGAATACATATATCAAGTAACAAGGTTAAAATGAAATTAATGCAGAGAACTTATTTCCACTCACAATTAACTCTTGTTTAAAGATACTATTTAGTTGTTCAACCCATTTGGTCGTATAGATGATTACTCAAAAGAAAACAAAGCACACTATATATTATGGACAGAAGTGTTATCTTTTTCACAAATACACATAGAACAATAACACAGAACTTCTGACAATACATTTTGTCATATAGCACATAAAAATTACATAAAATGCATGTATAAAATTGGATAGGTTCTACTTAAAAAACAAAAAGAAAGCCTAACCTTTTTGTTTAACCTGCTAGTAAAGCTGTATCCAGGATTAATTAGAACTTTACACTGCCCCTTTTTTCTCATTCAAAATATCCCTACCATTATTAATAATAACCATCTAATCAATGGTATCACTCAATGTTAAAAATCTCTTACATTTGAGTCATTTAACACTAAACATAGCTACTTACATTCAGCTTTTACTCTCAATTAAATGGTCCTCCAACATATGAAATTACTTAAATTTTTCTCCTACTAAATAGAACAATACCAACTAAAAGATTATACGAGATGGCTTATCTTACTTTTAAATTGCCATTTTTGCCAGTATACAATTACATTAAACCTTCAAAATTTAGTGAAAATAATTACATCTAAGTAAGAAAAAACATTTAATCAAAAATACATTTTTCAGTATGACAAATTCAAACAGTCTTTAAGAGGTAAATCTTTGCTATTATTGTTTTTTAATACAAAACTCTACATGTTCAAAACTTGAATGAAACTTAGATCTGGCAAAAAAAAAGTAACAAAGAAGGAGCTATGCCTCTCTTACATCAAATCTTACCAAAAACATGTTCATATTGGAACTATTAAATAGGCTTTCTGTTGATAAACACTATGAATGGAGTTCAAAAGAATTATTTTGCAACAATCAACTAGATAGATTTACACCTGAAATTATATCTAACTACCTGGGAATGCAGTAAATCTAGTTGAATATAAACTTGACGACAAGTACATGTGCATATTGATAAATTTTATTTTTCAAAAACGACTACACCTAATATTAAATGAAAGCACGGGCAATTAAAAACACTAACTGGTACAAACTGGTAGTATTTTTAAAATTGGCTTTACTGTTACCAATCATCAAACATCATACGAAAATTCTAGTTGTACAAATCTTTACTGCTTAAAAAATATTTTTACTAACCTTAACTTTACAACTAAAATAAAAAATGAAAATTACTCACTTTAAAAAAACATAAAAAATTATCACAACAGAAGAATTTTACAAACATACTCTTGTTAACTATAAAAAAACAAACAAATCAACTACTACAAAAGAATAATTCAAAGACTGAATACAAAAATGGAATGGTACATTTTCAGCTTTTTTTTTGACAAAGAAAAATTAGAAAAATATTCATAAAATTGCAACGGCACAAAAATAGTTTATAAACTTTAAATTCCAATTATGTCTCTACAGTTAAATCACAAATTACTATTGTCAATATTCTCAACTGTTTTACCTAACTTTTGAAAAGGTCATATAAAAATATGTTTAAAAGTTTAAGATACACGTAGAAAATACCACATAAGAAAAATAAAGTGAATATTAGAATCTGTTGAAAATAAATGAGATAACAAACTCACGTGCCATATAACAACAGTACAAGACAATGAGTCTTGAACTACTGAAATTAAAAGAAGCTCCAAGTCTTTTCTCAGAATTCCCCTGATCTGATTAAGTACAATCCTTACACCCAAAACATAACAGTTTTATTATTTTTATTACCATAAAAACTGGGCTAGATTCACCTTACTATTTCTGATCATATTATCATAAATTGAAATAACTGGGAAAATACAGCACACAACTTGTGAGGTTGGAGAAGTGTTCCACATTCATGGTTGAGCATATTTTTATTATTCCTTTTTCACATGATAGCCACTGATGTAAACTTCAGTTTTATTGATACAAAGCTGTCAGTTAACTTGCTTAATGAAATGGCATTCTGCTATGAAATATACTGATAAGCAGCTCATCCACTCTGGCAGAAGCAAAAGATTAATATATAAGGCCACAAAACAAGTTCCAACAAGTACTGCAACTTGACAAAGCAGCACACACCACACAAACACCACACCAGCTCAGAAATACCGAAATTCGCCCTTGTTACCTCTTCGTTCTCGTTGTATCCACTCAGGTGGTGCTGGAGCACCAACTGACCCTTGAGAACCCCGATGAGAGCCTTCTTCTAGTCTATCCCTTCCTCCAAGAAGGCTTCCCTGGAACAAAGACTTTAGCACTTACCATGCTTATTAACACAACTAACACCTGAAATACTAGTAAATACTCTAATGAACATTATATAAATTCACAACCAATAAATGATTTATAGCACACTCAACTACAAAATTCTCCTGGATAGGGTTGTTACAAATGGTAAATTTTACCCTTGAAGGTTCAAAACAAGTTACAGAACAAAGGTTCAAAACCTTCAATAGGACTAATTTGCAAAATTTACTAATGAAATCTCAATAACTACTAAGATATATTTCACTGAAAACCCTTTTATTTGACAGGTAATCCATACAAATGAAATAAAACATTCCCATGTAGTTTAAAAATATGTTATACTGAACAGTGATCATGTTTTTATATTTTAAATAAAAATTCAAAATGCACATTGTTTAAGCACACATACAGTATGCTTGCATCACAAAATCACCCTATTGTGGTCAATTAAAAGAAGCTGACATAAGCAAAACATATCTATTTAACAGTCACCATTCCAAGCAGATTGACTGTCATAGTCTTATATTTTTTTAATCAATTTTTTTGTTATAAAATAAACAAACAGTAAAATGAAACTCAAGAATACTAATAATTCAATTTGATAACAAAAACAGACCTACACCTATAATAAAGAGAGAGTGTTATTATCAGTTCCATTTATTTCACAACATTGTTGATCAAACATAAGCCTTATGAAGGTGGAGAGAGTGAATAGTTTCACTTGTACTTCTTATTTTCAACATTAAAATTATTAATGTTGGCATATATTTTATGTTTCACTTATTCTACCACAAGCAAAAGTACCCATCCCCAATAGTGGTGAAAGTTTAAGTTAATCTATCAATTTAAATTATTTCATACTTTAAAAAGGTTGACTGTGTTGCACTCTTGATTTCAATCACAGCTACTTATACCACTCACCATGAAAAGTAATTGTTGAGAATTTCAATCATATTAAGAGCTGCTCAACAATAACATACCATAAATGTACATTTTTATTCTTTAAGTTACATCACATTTTCAAATATGAATAAATAATAGTGTGATTAATTCTTAACAACTTAGTGTAGAATATCCTACTTGCAAAATTAAATTTACCATCTACATTATTCATGCCTGTCCTCCCATCATTTCAAAAGTGAATGTAGAGCTTTGTCCGCATGCACAACTTTTCAAACGAAAGACAGGTGAGTGTTCGAACAGACATGTTTCGCAATATATAGAAGATAACGCTTCTTTTACATCTTGTACACTAGGCATTCAGTACATTTTACTGAAGTAATGCACCCACTGCAGCAAAGTAGCTGCTACATAGAACATACGTGCGTGTGTTTTATTTTTGTTTTAATACAACTTTTGTTTAAGTAAAATGCGTTATACAAATCAAAAAACAGAATTTTTCACGTAAGTGACATTCAATGGGTGACTACTATTTAAACATTGTCAAAAAACTGTCAATAAATTAAGAAATATCTAATACAATTTGAATGCTGCCTGAAGAATCTTCAAATGTTTAGTGCTATCTTATCTTCAAATTCCTGGCTAGCAAATGAACCTTCAAACATAGCCCTACTTCTGGAGACAGTGTTCAGTCTTCATTAATTGTATTCACAAAAGAAGCCTATTACTACATTTTTAGATATGTGCTGCCCATAAAAGATTATTTAAAAAAACTTTAGACTGGGATAATACAACCTTTTAACACATACATCCAAAGCATAGATTTTATTTTCAATATATTTTTGGGGCATTCGTTTGAAGCAAGTAAAACAAAAGTTAATACAAATCTCTTATAATGTTGTTACAACTTTCACACATAACATCTTTGTTCTAAATGCCTATCATAATGATGCTACATATTCAAAACATAGTATAAGGAAAGTCTTTGTTCTAATTGCTACATTCGGAATTACAAATAACAAACTTTCCTTGTACATACAACCATTACTACTACAAATAATAAACATTCCACATGCATATAATTATACATTAGTCATTTTCCCTAGAAGTGACAAACATTACACACTTCTACAATGCCTTCCACACTTGAACTTAAACTATTACAAATGGTAAAAGAAACATTCACTAACAAACATTCAGGAAAAAAATACCTGGCTCTGGTAAGTTTCTCTCACTGGCCCACCTCGGGGATATGATCGATTGTTAATAGTTTCCTCTTCACGAACTATAGCCTGGTATGGAGTGACAATGGTGTGAGGAACATGACCCACTTGGTTCTGATAATTTCTTGCCCGCCACCACTTTCTACTATCATCAAGAACCTATCATCAGTCAAAAAAAAATACCAGGAAATAAAATACCATCTACATTTAAAATCAAGGGAAATATATTAACTATTTTACAATATTAACACCAAGAATACAACAGTGATGTTTTCATTGAACTTGCACAAACTTCAAATGACTTCTGACAAATACTAGAGAATGTTAAAATAAATATTATGATTCCACCTTCATATGGGTTGATTTTTATAAAAGTAAAATACAAAAACTAAACAGGACTACAACTACTATATTGAGCTTATAATATGTCATTGAACAACTTTAATCATTGAAATTTTGCAATTAATTTTAGGCCACATCAATCTTTTAAAGGACTTCAGTTTGAAACATTTAGTTATTAGTTATAGACACTCAATATATATATATATATAAAAAATTAAAAGCGTACCTCTTTTCCAAACTACCTCAATCATACAACTTTTGTAATTAATTTGAGGTTACATCTTTTGAAGAAATTAATTCAATGAGGAAAGTTCTGTAGATTGATTTTAAGATACATCTCTCAAGGATTTTGTCATTTAATTCAGAATAAAATTCCTTTGAACATACGTATTTACTTATGTAAATAAATGTATCTTGCATAATTTTGATCATTATTATAACTACTTCTCTAATAATTTTAATTTCAATAAAAAATACTTGAGCTTCACAAAACTGAGTTAAACTTTCATTCACATACAACATAAGGTTGTCAAAATGACAGAAAAAAAAACATTTCACTTATACAACATTGCCAAGATTCAATAACTTCTGTTTGACCAACTTACAACATCGCAATTTTGGCAAAACACACCACTCACTGAAGGGAGTGTAATTTAACTGTGTAAAGTATTTTTATTTCACTTTTAAAATACCATCTTAAAACAACAAATCACAATTATAAATAATTAAGATACCACTGAAGAAGTACACAAGTAGGAGGGGAGGGATACCAAGAAGAAAGAGAAGGACTTCATGAATCAGGTATCAAAAATGAGCTCAGAGAAACATACATACACTGAAAACAGTGGTAAAATCACTCTAAGTTGTTGGTGCACCAAAAGATTAAAAATGATATCTTGCCATCATGGATGAAACTAAATGGGCAGAGAGATGTTTTCTTTTTGCTGAAGGGCTATCTGCACGTTTAGAAATGATAGATTAGAGAAAGCAGCTAGTCAAAACCATCCACCAGCAACTCTTAGGCTACTCTAATTGAATAGTGGGATTAACTGTCATACTATAATGACCCCACAGCAGAAATGGTTAGTATGTTAGGTGATAGGATTCAAACCCACAACCCACAGATTACAAGCACCCTTACAACAAGGCTATGCCATGTCAAATAAACTCTACTTTCTTGTTCACTTACTTCTTTGTGCTTTGCCTACCACTTCAAACGTTCTCCTTGACTTAAAATAGGTTCAAATGAAAGTAATATTTTTACCTTAATCTGCTTCTTCATTGTTCAAAAAATTACTTAAAACTAAACCTTTTAAATCAAAGAGCAACTATTCTCTAAATGTACGTATACACACACACACACACACACACATATATATATATATTCCTCCCTTTCTAAAAACTGTTCAAATCAAATTTACACTAATTTCAGTCACTAATATAACTTGTAAACACGAATTGCTGAAGAATGCCTGTAAATAAAATGCAAATATCATAAAACTGAAATGTACTGATGTGATTGAAATTTTAAAAAGTTGTACACAACTTTTTTTTCTTACAACAAATGAAATCAATTATAAAACTAAATTCTTTCTACCTTGCAGCTTGCACCTGGCTGCTTACCAATTCATTAACTGGTTCCCTGTTGTCTGGTTGGGAAGGCATAGAGGTAACAGATATGGACTAATGAAATGGTCCACATTTTTAATACAAAATTTAACTGATGAGACATAAGATTTAAAATCACATATTCTTTGTAAAACACATAACATGTCTGACATTAAGGCACTTTTCAAAGATTTAATATGTCTTGATGTTAAATAATTATAATTCACATTCCTTCTCATATCAATTGCTTATAGAACATTCTTTAGCTTATGTGGAAACGATGAATCACATAATGCCATATTTCTTTGGCAATAACTTTCTAGTGGTTAAAACATTAGCTGTGATTTGTGCACCAATAAAACAGTCAAATTCCACTAAAGATTGGTGTATACTTGTTACCTATGTACAGAGTTGAAGAATCAACAGAGTACCAGTCAAACAGAGCTACTGCTTTACGAAGAAAAGACTTAGAAGTAAGAAGAAGCTTCTCTATTGGTCAAAATGTTCACAGAGTACTACTTCCACCAATGACAATTCCAAGTAACAAAAACATGAATAGTACCATAAAACTTTCATAATTTCAGTAAGTCAACTAGCAGGGGAGTGGGATGAACATACATGCTAACAGAAAATTCAAGCAATAGAAGTTTTGGGAAAGGTCACAAAAATACTAGTAGTGTGCAGCATACAGTTTGCTGTAGTTAGAGATGCACTTACACTACTTATGCTATGTCCCTATTTAAAACACTGTCTATGATAAATCCAGTACTGAAGTTTTAACTCAGTGAGAAAAATGTACACATTATTTCAGACAATATACAGAAATTCCATACTATTAGTAATTGCTGCCCTAAATAAACCACCTAAACCCTTGCAACTACTAGTTAAGAAGCCTGAGGTGAAAAGATTATAAGAACAATGATGGTGAAACTTAGCTGGCTCTTCAAAACACACACACCACAAGCATTTATTCATCAATCCACTAATTGGAAACTCCATGTGCAGAAAAAGCTTTTGTCTGAATTTTCTTTATTTATTATCTTCCTTTTGTAATTGAATTGTAGCTGATAGATAATGAAGGAGGAAAATAAAACCTTCTAAAACCTTTAGAAGTGTGAAGATGAATAAATTCATACAGTTAAACTTCAACAAAATAAAAACAAAAAAAAATGAAATTATTAAAGTGATATTTTTGCCTTCTGCATTATTTTCAGTTTTCTATTATGGAAACCAACAGAAGAGGAAAAAACTAAGAAACCTTAACACTGATGAAATGCAAGTATAGCCAAAATGTGTATGAAGAGTATAACCTTAAATGGCTGTATTTAATTATTTTTTTTAAAAAAGTCGTGGTACTGATATCCTAGTTGGCCCTAAACGAAAATTTTTACAAAATATTCTTACATTTTGGCACTTACCTCCAGCACCTCCCCCCTCACCACTGACAACTCTTTATCATTGTTTGCTGTTCTTGGGTATAATACTACCACAATCTTAGCACCACTGGCTTTCAGTTCTTCCATCCAACGCTGTTGATGCCTTTCAAATTGTTGTTGTGGGTCTATACCCTGCTCAATAGAGTCAGCACTCACATCTGACCTTGTGTCTCTGAAGTCCCGTTCAGAAGATGAATGCCGTTCACCCCTGAAACCATGATCATCAGTCCTTAATAAGATTCAAACCAACTACATCACTTACATTGTAACAACACAAAACATTCAAGACTCCTAACTTTAAGGACAGCAAAAGGACACAATACTGTTCTTTCTCTCTCCCTCTCTCTCTATATATATATATAAACTTTGCCATACATTTTGGAAGACAAATAATTACTTTCGATATCACAAAAACAAATATAAATTCAAAAACTATTTTCAAAAATTTTGGAATCCTGTGACATCAAAGATAAGAGTAATACAAATACTGTTTCTTTTCTTTTATATATAATTCTTAATATACATGACACTAATATGATCACGCTACACCAAAGTCTCACTTTGAACATACACACATGCCAAAATTCATACCTTCCTGGAACACTTAAATGTTGAGTCTCATAGTGACGATTATCAAATGCTGAGGGTGGATGGTTAGGTGGTACAGACTGAGGATCTCTCTCACCTCTTCGTTCACTTCTATAGAAAAAGTCACTGTCATAATGACTCTCTTGATCTGATGGGAGGCCTAATGGTCTTCGGAACTCCTAATTTAAATAAAAAAAGATTACTTTTTACTTTATAAGACAGCATTAACTTTTTTAACCAACATTCTTTTATTAGGTAGCTGCAAAAGAAACAAGCCAGATGAAAATTAAATATTTTCTGGAACAAGAAAAATTTATTTTTAAGTTGTGTTACAAAAGAAAAACTTACATTCTTTGAAATTTTTATGTTTATGAAAATTATAAATGATCAACACTAACAGTTTTACAGTTATTTTGAATCTTTTGTATGAAAAAAGGTTTCAATGGATCATAAAGCTGCATTGTGATTGTCTCATTTCATGAGAAGCACACATATTAAAAGTTTGCAGTTGTTAATGAAATGATCTTGCCTTGTTTCTTTGACGAAATATGTTGGGGCCATCTCACAACTCAGAGACCAAAATATCATCCCACACAAGAAACAAGACAGGTGAGCAAAAACCATTACATATTTGAAACCTGTTATATTATTACTGCTATGAATCACATTTTAATTGCACAATATTTAGTGGAATGGCTTTTTTGTAAAATAAAACAGTTTTTTAGGTAGTAGGATGGGGGCTGCTGGCATGTTATGAGCATAACTATACGAGGGATGACCTGCGCTACACAGACAGTACCACCACTGCCCCACTTCCCACTGAATTGGTACCTTTGGTTCAACCCCCAGCTATTCTGTCCAAATCAGTAAGTGTTCTCCATAGTCCACCACCCAAAAAGCTAAGTAACTGTTAGTGGGAAGGGTCTCCCATGCTCCACTCAAAAAAAATGGGAAGAATTTCCAATGGGAAGACCCAGAGAAAGGCCTGGATCCCATCAGTTGTCTACTGGATAGGTTTTTTACTGGAAACAGTGCAATGAGTAACTGCATAAACCTATTTTGAAAAGCCAGTAAGGACAAGCCAGAAAAGCAGGCAGAGCATCCCTGGTACTGGCTTTTCCACGATAGTCCATGGAAGAGGTACCATCTGGATCAGACAGAGACAGATATCAGTATATACCATAATGATACCCCAATGCAGAACACCCCATCTCAACAGTGGGCATACATATAGAGCCAGGGTGGATGGTACAAGTGTTTTCCATTATCTTGGCTCGTGCAGAATTTTGGGAAGTAAGTGTACCTCGGGAGGCAACATTAGCCACCTGGAGAATCTTTTGCATCAAAGCCAGAAAAAAAGAATGTACTCACCTAACTAATAAGAGTGAGTAGACTGGAGGAGAGCGAACAGAAGCAGGCAGTAACCCACACAAGATGAGACAGCCAGGTGGTGGATAAAGTGGGCACAAAGGTGTGTTATGTAGTTCATATATCAGCCAAGAGGATCTCACCAAGCAGCCATCAGAAATGCAAGGCAAGGGAATGGGTGAGGTGACAGATTTGATGAGAAGAAATATGGAAACATCTGTGGAATCCAACCCCCAATGAAGTGTACACCAAACAGAGCAGTTAGCAGACCCAACCTGTAAAGGTAGATGGAGTCAAGTTCCAGGAAGAAGAAGAAGGAGAATCCCAGGGATGAAAGAGGCAAAGACAAGAGTCATGAAATGGTAAGGTACAGGCAAGGTATCACCGAACAGCATGAACATGGCACAACAGATGGTTTGGGTTGGATTAATCATAGAGGTGTGAAATACAAGAGAAGGAGTGATCACCATCCCAACCTGCAGAAGTTCTAGGGAGGAAACATCCATCAGGATAAAGGAGAAAATATGAATGATGGAAGATGGTACGGGAAGAGTTGAGAACGTAAACATTTGAACAACAGCGACCACAGGAGAGGAGTAAGTGAAAGGTCTTAAGGAGCAAATGGCCATCAGCTCAAAAAAGGCCTGGATAAGAGCATGCAGGACAACATTCAGGCCATAATTGAGCATAGGAAGAGGGCTAGGAGGTTGATGCAGAAAGAATGATCAGAAGAAGATGAACAGAACTGGGGAAGAAAACACCTTGCGATATCAGGAAAGATTGTAGACAAGGTAGCCTGATAACCAGCAACAGTGGAGATAGTCAACCTTTTATCAAATAGCCAGGTAAAAAAAGAGCCATAGCCAACAGTGAGACAGTCAGGTGGAAGATAGCAACAGACAGACTAAGGTAGAAAACCACATCATGTTTGCTCTTAATTGGATAGGGTAGACGGACAACAAGAACACAAAAAAGAAGAAGGCTGCCCTATGGGTGATGAACATGAACCCTGAATGGAATAGCAACATATGATGTTGGAGCAAGAGAGATGGTGTGGGATGGAGGGTAAGAGGGGGATGAGGGAATCATGGGTAAGCCAGCCAAAGAGGTGCCACCATAAGGACACGACAAAGAGTGTTGCGAATCAAGGACCTGTGATAGAAGTTGGAGAAGTGAGTGAGCATAAAGGAAAAGATGAAACCAGTCCTTACTGAAATCATTGACAGCCAGGGCTAAAAAATGGGGGATGAGAGACCAAAAGAGAGGAAGCTTGGAATTGAGAGGTGTGGCAAAGGCATTGATGAGCAGTCCCCAAGAAAGAGCACATCCATCGGAAAACCTGAAGGTGAAGAGACTATTCCATATGGTCTGGCCGACAGAGCTGGTTCAGAATGAGATTCATAGCTCCTGAAACATGACATGCAATGAGGTGAACCCAATAAAAATTGGCCCACTAAAGAAGGTCGAGGGTCTGAAAACAAAGGGTCCTGGATCTGGCGTCTCCCTGATGGTTGATGTAGGAAACAATGGAGTAAACCATAACTAAATGATCCACCAGGATGGAGTAGGAAATGGGGGCATGCCTGTTGTACTTCCAAAAGTTCAACCACACTGATGTGAAGTGAAGACTCCAAGTGCTCGAAGTAAGCTTGTCCTTCAGAAATGCACCCAATCTCAAGAGGGAAGCATCAGTGAAGAGGTGTAAGTTGGGTTTGGGTGGAGGTAGAGGCACACCATCAGTAGTATTGGAGCAGTCCAGCCACCAAGAAAAGTTCGTGAGCTGGGGAGGGGGCAAGAGAACCATGGATTCTAAAGATTCCTGTGAATGGTTCCAGTGATCATGCAAGAACATTGAAGGAGGCACATATGATTATGGCCAAATAAAATAAGCAGTTCCAGAGAGGCCATGGTCCCCAAAAGCAATAAAACCTCTTGTAAAGTATGAGCAGGAGAGGCTCACATCCTGGTGACAATGTTCCAGCACTTGTAAGCAGAGAGAAGGAGTTTGAGCTCAGTTGAGAAAGAGAGTTGAAAAATGCTCCCAGGTGAACAAGGTATTGAGTGTGGGTAAGAAAGGATTTGAAAGTTTTGAATAGCCACCATAAACAGGCATGCTTCCCACAGAAGAAGAGAGGTGTGCAGGTAATATTTGTGTAAATGGAACAGAAGAAGCCAATCATACATGTAATGATGTAGGGGGCCGATGCTACGTTCAATGAAAGAGCCATGAACTGGGAGATGCGATCCTGTTGAATGAATCTAAAGAAACTTCTTGAAGTGTTTGCAATGGGAATATGAAGGAATGTATCCAAGACGTTGACCTTGGTCATCCACAGTCTGGGTGAAAAGGACCAGAGGAAGGAAAATAATGAGGGACGATCATGTAGCATTTGAGAGAGGAAAGGTCAAGGACTGGCCACCAATCCATGGTATTCTTGGAGACCACAAAGAGATGAGAGTAAAACCCTGGAAAAGGGTCACGCACCCTCTCTATAGCCTGTTTGTGCAAGAGATCCGACACCATGTCTTCCAAACATTGAAGATAAATGGGATTTGAGGGAAGATGAATGTGAACTGGGCAAGGGCTGAGAGGCGAAGGAGAGAAGAAGTAGAGGGGGAGGCCACGAGAGGGGAGAATTGTAACCCATCTGTCCAAAGATGGGTGTTCCTAAAGATGTGCATACTGCAGCAAATAAGCACTTCTGAGGTCCAAATCTGCACTGTAGTCATCAACAAGCCGAGCAAGACTGACATAAGGCCAAAGACTGTCAAATGGAAGCGGGAGGACTAGAACTAGACACAGGAGTGGAATGCAGGAGTTGGGGCAAACAAATAACCAAGAAAGTTAGTAAGGATTGATACTGGGGAGCGTCTCTTCATGATTTAATTGAATCAGAAATACCTCCAAAAACAGAAGGGTGGGGCAGAAAGTCCTGTTAAAAGGAGGAGGGAAGACAGACATGTGACAGAAGGGTATCCCAACCCAACAACAAATGATCCAAGTGAGTATGGAAAGGAAAGAAGAAGAAGTAGTACGAGCCATGGTGGAAAGGAGAAAGGAATAGGAACCACCAGTGAAGTCATATGAGGCTCTGTGAAGTGTCTCTGACACAAAGTGCAGGGAGGAAAGGTAACAAACCACAAAATGTATTGGGCAAAGATGAGAGAATTGAGCATTGAAGAGTGAAATTGACACCAGTGAAACTTCCTCCAAACAAGAAAAAGAGACTAAGGCCTGAGACTCCAGAAAGGGAAAGTTAAAATAACTATTGGCCATGATAAAGGAGTCTGAAAGCGGGAAGAATATGAGGCATAAGATGGTGGGAATGGAGTTGGTCTAAAAAGGAAGTAGCATGAACATTAATATCAAGTGAAGGGTAGGAAGTGTCATAAACTACAGGAATGAGAGATAGGACATAACATATCTGAGTGGTAAAGTCTCAATTATGTGAGGAAGTCTGAGCATTCTCCTCAACAGGGAGAGAAGTTCCTAAAGCATAACCAGGAGGAAATAAATGGTCAAAGTCATCTTCCCCACCATATTCCCGCTTAGAATGAGTGGAAGGAATGCCAAACGAATGGACATGGGCCAAAAATAACAGCTGCATAATTGAATCCACTACCCTATACACAATGGCCATCATGTCATGTACCTCCAGTAGCCATTCGCTCTGGATGTTGAAGTAACATGAACTTGAGAGTACGTAGTTGGAATAAATAAAGGAAACAAAAACCCTTTATCAGACTGCAAAAGCTCTGTAAATTATAAGCAAAACAAATACAGCTTAGTTGTACAGTGCCGTGGAATAAAAAATGACTGGTACATTTGGATTATACACTAAATCATTTCATATCATAAATAATAGGAGTGATTCTTAGAACAATATTCAGTGACTGCTGCAAATTGTTACTGATCTACAGTACTGTCTAGAATGAAATTAATATTAACTTCCAATCAGAGCAAGCTGACTACTTGGTAGAGTTAAAAATGAACCCAGTAATGAGTATGGATAATTAAATATACTTTTCTTAAGTTCTTAAAGGTTAGTATGCATTACTTTATAGTAACTATACAACTTGCCCTTAATAATATTTGTTTTTATTCCGACTATACAACTTGTCCTTGATAACATTTGTTTTTGTTCCGACTATACAACTTGCCCTTGATCAAATATGTTTTAGTTTTGACAATATAGCATATACTTTATAGTAACCTATAAAGGTTAGTATGCATTGTTTCATCAGTTAACATACTGAATTGAAGTTGAATAAAGTTAATCAAGCATGATTGCACATTAAGTTTTCATAATGAATAAAAAAACATAAGCATCTTACTACAATGGACATAGCATGTATGTCAGTATCTATGTATGTAACCAAAACTCCTGTGCATCTATTGAATGACATCACAAAAAATCCATAAAAAAAGTCTCACACTTTGGGTATTCAAGATTCAGACAGTTAGAAAAGCAAATGTGGTATGTGCAACAACCATTTCTTTATAATAGAACACAATTTTAAATAAAAGTAATCTCATCAGAACAAGAACACGACTTTCACTAGGACCATTTGATTATATCTTTATTGATGTAATTTTTAAATGTAGTACAAAAAACTGGAGTTCTTAAAAAAAAATATTTTTCAACAAAGGGTAACACTTTTAATATATAAAAATATTACAGTTTATATCAGTAACATTTATGAAAGTTTCAGCTCTGTACATTGAATCATTTTGATGCAATGAATGGTATATGACTAAAGAGTACAATCTGAACAATTTTCCTGTGCAGTTATTCCCAAAAAAGAAAATCCTTTTTTAGAAAATGTTCACTTTTTCTAAATTTTTTCAATGAGGTATGAATACAAGGATTAATAATTACTAGCATAAACAGCCACCCATAGAGTAGCATTCCTGATAGTAAGAATAACTATCAGTATAGTTGGAGAAGAGGTTAAAGCTTATTTACTTATACTAAATTTTTACTCAAACATGAAGAAATGAAACAGCTCATACTTCTTCATTACTTCTTCTTACATCTTCTTGGTGAGTCCTCTGAATAACTGAAGAAGTCACTGGTGCATTCAGCTCAGATCTCTCTCTCTCATCTACAAATGAAATTTCTGGTGCCCAGCCATCTCCAAATACTGGACGAAAATTACCTTCATAACCCTTCCACAGTTCTCTGTTTAAAAAAAACACACACTTCATAATTGATTATAATATCTTGAAAAAAAATTACATAGGAAAAAAAAACACTTATGAGACAACTAACATATACAGGGTCGAGTACATTACATTAAAAGAAATTTAAATATATAAATCAGTAAGTCACGCGACAACCTCATCCAATAAAGTGCAGTGAAATGGAATGTATCAGAATTATATTTTGACATTGTTTGTCATTTTTGGGAAGAGTAGGTAACAGCCATTTCTGAAACAAAATATTCATACACTAAGATCATAAAGATGTGTTCAGATTAGAGTTTATCATGGAGATATAATTTTACTTAACAGCATTGGAAAACAAAGGAATATGGATCAACTTGGAGTACCGGGCCCTGCAACAAGTCAAACCCCAGTTATGGTAAGCAAATTGTAGCAGATAAGAAATCATGAACACAAAAGTCATGGCGAAAAGCCATCCACGTGTACCAAGGTAACAGTATGTAACATAATCAAGAAAGATCTCCACCAAGATAAAGCTTCTAGTCAAACCCCATATTCAACTGTCACTTAATTCAAGTAACTGGATAATGAAATAGGTAACTCATGCTGTTGCATATAAAAAAAACAGAAGCAGAGTTGCCAGATGCAACACCTATGGATTTCTGTACAATTGAACTGTTGAAGCGAGTACTGGTAAATAAGCTTCCTCGTACACTAAAGACAATTGAAACCATGCAGGGAGGAATGGTGTGCTTTGGACTTAACATAGAAGAAGAAGAAGTTAAAATTGAATTTAATATGCAAGCTATTAAGCAAACAGTAATCATGTGAGAAATCCAAGTTTAACATAAAAGAAACAATAATGTAAATGAATTCCAAATAATCATTTTCCTATCAAAACTCACCGTGGAACGATCCAGGTTTCCCCTAAGCTATACCATAAGTCACTTTCTTTAGATGTACAACAATTTTTTAGTAGATCAATGGCATCTCCTGTTAAAAGAGGGGCAATCACTTTGTCTGCAATATTAGGTCCATAATTTGAGTCTCGTGCAGCTTCCACAATCACAGTAAGAGGTGTGAACAAGAAATGAACCAGTTCAGGTGCATTTGGTTCATGTATGTGATTCCGCAATCTTGCCTATGATGAAAACATGCAGAAATATTGATCAAATTTACTTGATACAATATAGGTATTATATGTTTCTTTATCCAATTATATAAATATTTTATCAATAAACAAACACTCAAAGATTTAATGTTCACACATGTTTACTATGCAAGTACATTTTCATCTAACTGCAAAACTGAAAACTTTTTCCCAATACATTTTATAAACCATATAAATTGCTGAGAATCTGGTCTCAATGTGCATAGACTAATATTGAAAAACTACCATTGCAAATGTTTAAGACAAATATAAAAAAACAAGCAAACTCAGAGCAAACACAAAATAAGTTTTATATTCTCCTATGTTTAACAGGAAAATTTCAAAAATTTTCCCTTAAGTAATCAAGCTTGAATCTAGAAGAGTCAATAAACCCAACACTTATGACTTTTACTGAACTAACACAACAGGTCTGCAATACTTATTGCTTAGTAATAAATTATGCATTGAATACATACATGTATGGTTTGATTTAATGAACATGCAAGGCCTCCAATATTGGTTTCTTAATAACGTTCAGTAAACTGAACATAAATTTATGTAAAAAGACAGATTTAGGTTTTTCTAATAGGCTTGTTTATGAATTTCAACTCACTATTTATATCTACATTATTTACAGTACAAGTTAACTACTCCATAGGTAACTAAACTGTTTTTGGTAGGTCATTATTCTTACACTATGTATTGTTCAAGCAGGTCCTAACTAAAAGTGTTTCAAACAAAACAACATAGAATTTCATTACTATATACAATCATTTTTCCCTTAATCTTACCAAAAGGTTGAAGGACAACTTAAATTTCTGTAAAATGTCAAGAAATTCTCGCTCAGGTGGTGGCTTAGCTCTCATACTCAACATTCCATCTGAAAATCATGAACAAACATGACTGAAATAAAACATTAAAAACAAGGAAGGTTTCAGTGCCAAAAAAACTGTTTACTGCAAGTTATGTGCATATTGAAACTGCTTGAGACTATTGAGCTTTCCTGCAGGATCATTCTTTATTACTTTTGTTTTCTGCAGTGGTACAAGTTGTGATACAAAACATACACGTTCACAATGGGTAACAAACCCCAAACCACGACCAGCCATGTAATATGATTTTAAGATACATAACTTCTCATCAGCTCTGCTAGAAAAATGATAAAGGATGTTATCCAACAAGATTTACGTCTTCAAGCTGGGTGTCAATAATATAACCACATAACTTTTAATCTTTTACAGCAATAATGTTTGATGATGTTTCTAGCCTGCCGGCTGAATCTACCACATAGGCTTACTTCAGCTGGTGATGGTGTAAATTGTGGTACAAAACAGGCTTGCTCACAATGGACAACAATTTTCAAACTTTAGTGAGATTACATCTACTAATTTTTTACCAAAATTTTCTTCTACTACTTCTCCCTACCAGCCTTGTATCTTATGTTCTCCTGGAATAAGTGACTCAAATCGCAAAGAAATTAAAAAAAAATTTTTTAACTAAATGTTATTTCAAAGACAGAGGTTAAAACTGCAAATATTCAGAATTAAAACTACTTTTCTTCATTATCATTTGAAGTTTTTGCCCTTAAATTCATTTACAAAGTTATTATAAACAAGTATTAGTTTAAGTATGAAATTCATTATAAGGGTGATTAGTTTGGTGTGTTGCGATTCAACACAACTGTATTGTTTAACACAGTACGTGTTGTTGCAGTATTACGAGTTCTGCAGTAACAAGTATTAATTACACACACAGTCTAGCAACTTACACAGAAACTGCTAGGATATAAACAGAGAAGGTAGGCCTCTTTTAAATAGTGGTGGTGGGTAGAGGTGTTTGTTCCTAGGAAGTTCAATGGAGAATTTAATCTAGGTTGATTTATGCTATGGTTTCAATAATATGTAAATAAACAAATGCAAAAACTCAAACAGAAATTTACTAATACATTAGGCATCAAAGGTTAATAATTGAGCTGAAAAAATGGAAGCACATTTAGACGTGTTAACAAAATAAAGAAAATTTTGGTAATGGATGTACATAACATGACAACTAAACAAACACTTGAAATTAAATCATGAAAAATTTCTCTCTTTTATAAAATGTAAATTATTTTAAAGATTAAGTAATAAACCTTTATTAATCGTGTATGATACTAATGTTAAAATCCAATAGAATTACAATACTTATATATATACGTATAACTATCTGTATTCACTGAATGTAAAAATATTAAACAAATATACATGTACATAAATTACATCATTGACAAACAGTAAATGTACTTGACTTACTTTAATTCATGTAAAAAATCAAAATTAATACCCGCTACCCAAATTCTTAAACAAACAAATACAAGATCACATGAAAAATGATATTTTTACTATTTAAATATTTAACATTTTAAGCAAATCAATAATGGTCTACAAATACTGTACAAGTCATTTTCTTGAAAAAAAAAAGAGAAGATGGTAACAATCATGATACACAACTTCTTCAGAAAATAAAGTTATTGAAAATAAATACATTATTGATATTTTGATTGAAAATACCAAAAATATAAACACTCCTGTTATAAATTCATGACATATATAACACTTAGTTAACAAGGAATTCAATCAGGTTTGCACTATATGTTCATTGCATATGCTTTAAAAGCCTCTTGTAACCACCTTTAGCTGGTCTTAGGGTAAAAAAAAAAAAGTTTTTAATATAACAAATCTCCATTTTCAAAAGCATGTAAGATGGTGTGAGATTTTATTAATTGTGTTTGGAATTTTGAGGGATAGCCACTCACCTCCTAGATCTTTCTTCTTGCTCTTCCTGCTTTTTTGCCTACGTTCAAGTTCCTTGAAAGCTGCTGCAGCATGTTGAAGACGTGCAATAAATCTCTCAATATCATCAAAACAATGGTTCAGCATGGTCTGAAAAAATATTCATAATAATTGTTTCAAAGAATTGAAAAACCCTTCTTTTACTGTTAGTCTTTACTGTCTGCTGATTTGTAGCATATCTAGTATAGATACATAAAAGCTATATATTGGCCCACCTTCTTTCATGTTTCCTGCCATTCAAGTTTTTCAAATGTGGAAAGTCAGTATTAGTAATAAGTCCTGCAAATGAGATACTATGTTATTTTATAAAAACAATATAAATACAGAACTTAAATTACTCACAACATCTCTCTCATATCTTTCACTTGTAGTTGAGCTTGTTTCATCATTGGATGCACGAGACAAACTTGACCGTATATTTTCTGATCTGTCTGCTCGCTCAAGTCGCTCTTGGTGAATTGCCAGACCATGTGGTGCTAGAGAAAAAATATGGTGAAGTCCTTCTTAATATTAAAACAGAAGGTCATAATGAAACTTTCAATTTGATATCAATAATTTGTATCTATATCACCATTTTCAATTTGTAATTTAAAATTGCACATATTCACTTTTAATGAATATGAATAGCACTAAAGAAATCTAATCACAAGGCACCAATTGACAATCATTACACAATCTCTTCTTGAAATGCAACTGTCCACATAAACGTAACATACCTGGAGAACTTGGAACATGAGCTTTGACTGATGCATTGAACATATCTACTTGTTCTCTTACACTGATGCCATTGAGAGGTGGCTCAGGTGGAGAATTAGCAGGAGGTGGTGGAATGGATCGCCTATCACTTCTGTACCTTAAGAGATGAAAAACTGCTAAGTCAACAAGTTTTAAACATTTAATACTGCTTAATCTACTGTTAAACTTACCAATATCAAATCTTACATAAAAATGCTGTTTTTCTTGTTAGCTTACAAACTTTAAATTTTTCTTCTTCTCTGATTAACACGTGTTCAAACAAAGTAAGAAATATTTTGTTTACCTAAAGATAAACTAAAATACAAGTAGAAACTGCTTACCTTTTTTAAACATTATCACATATTCAGCAACTTTTCCAGTTTAAAAAACTTGCACTAAAATATGTATATCGTTTAACATGACTTTTACATTAATGATATAATTTCAGCAAGCAGGCTTTTCAAAAGCACTGAATAGCCTGTAGTTATAAATTAACTGATGGAAAAATACAAAAGTTAAATAATTCTCAAATTGTCCTTAGAATTTTCTGTATTAAACAAAATATTAACATCAAATAAAAAGATTAGTAGGTTTGTGTTGATATAAACAGGACTACAGTAACCAACTTTTAATGTTAAGTTTATATTTTTTTTGTTTCTGTTCTTTTTTGTAATTTATACAATGACCTACATAATCTTCCTTTTCACACAGCATATTTTGCTAGCCACACTCTCCATGAACCGAAATAAATTTAAACTTCACAATAATCTCTAAAAATAGATCTTAAAAGACTACTACAATAACTACAAATTAGAAACATGAGTAAACTTGTAAAGACACTCTACAAATCAAATTTTCATATTTTTTTAGGAAGCTTAGATAAGCATGTAAAGCTCTGGACCCTCTGATTACACAAGTAATTTTTTTATTTAAATTTCATTTTTGACCCCTGGCCTTTTTTATTCTATACTGTTGATCATAGTTACCATTTCTTTGTATAAAAAATTAAGTTTAATATTCTACTAGCCAAACTCCAGACAATAGCAAAATTTGTTCACTTAGAGAGCGAAATCACACATGATCAATTGTCATACTTGACATATTCTCCATTTCAATAAACTTTTATGCATACTGATTAAAAGATTGCTTTCCAATCCTTAAGAAGTAATTAGAAAAAGAAAGCATTTTTAAAAATGTTTAACCATTCAGTAATTTTGTCTTAAAGCATCAATTACAAATGAAATATAATTAACCCTATAAATACAGATGGGTCAAAGTGTACATATCATGACTTATTTACAGTAACATTCAAACTTGAATTAAACTACTTTATTATGAATGTATGTAAATAACTTAGCAATAAAATGTAGCTTATAATTCAAATTTTTATGTCATCTAAGTATTAATTTCTAAAGGAAGTATCTAGATTAGTTATCCATATCCACACGAGTCACATGATACAGCAGTGCTACAAATTCTCATTTATAGTTTTCTCTTCTCTCATAATGGCTTCAGGTTAGAAATACACAGATATTTAAAAGCCAAAATATAACTTTTCAACCTCTTACCTTCTTCCTTTACTGAGATATCACTTAACAGCGCTTTGAAAGAAAGGGATCTTGGTGTAGTAGTTGCTCAGTCTCTTAAGCCATCAAAGCAGTGTGATGTTGTTAGTGGTAGGGTAAATAGGATTTTAGATTGTATCTACAGAAATACTTAATACAAGTCTAAAGAGGTTATGCTTTCATTGTATAGGAGTATTGTGTTCAGTCTTGGGCTCCTTACCTTAGGAAAGACATTGAATTGTTGGAAAGGATTCAGAGAAGGGCTACTACAATGGTGCCTGGGGTGGAAGGGTTGTCATATGAGGAGAGGTTAAGATCTCTGAAATTGTTTTCTCTTGAAAAAACGAAGTGCTAGATGGGATCTGATTGACGTGTTTAAGATTGTTAAGGGAATTGATAGAGTTGATGCATCATCTTTTTTAATACTTAATGGTGAGAATGGTAGGACTAGGGGATACAAATACAAACTTTGGCAGGGCAGGAGTCATCTTCAGCAAAGACACTTTTTTTAACAGGATGGTTGGCCTTTAGAACAGGTTGCCTTCAGATGTTGTGAAGGCAGTAAATTTAAGTGAATTTAAGAGAAAGCTTGATAACTATATACATAATAAGAGCTGGCTTTGAGGGTTTTTTTTTTTTATTAGGTTTAGTTTAGAGAATGGGACAGTCTAGGTAGACCAATAGGTCCCTTGCTGTCCCTAAACATTGTGTTATGTTATTTGTATTCATCATAGAATTTTTCACATCAATCTGAAATGGGGGAGGGGGCAAGGTCCCCTAGGGCAACTCCATATGGTGCCAGCTCTGCTTAAGTCTAATGAATGTATTCAAATCTTCTAAAATTTTTTACTAACAGTTCAGTATTTAATGGTTAAAATAAAAAATGTATCTTGTCTATGTTTACCTATACCAAACAAAACCATGTGAATATGGTAAAATACTGTTTTCTTAACTTTATAAACATACTGAATTCCAGTGAACATAAAAGTATGTTTTAATAACTAGAAGATATGTCAAAAATCATGGAAACCTTCATAATAAGTAAAGTTACTTATTTCATAAATTTAAATTACAAAACTAAACAATAAAAAGAATACCTATTCCAAAAAATTCAAAAACAATTTTAATTTTTAAATCATCTTTCTTCATTTTTCTATTCATTACAACTTGAGCACAAACTTTCTTCTGTTACACAACTTACAACTACCCTTACCCAGGCTTCCATTTTCCAGTCATAAAGAGTTTCATATCAGCTACAACATCATGAGCCTAAATAATTTAATAAATACAAGTTTCATAATTTAGGTCTTAACTAATAAATGTTATTTTTTTCTCCTAAGAAAACACAAACACTTTTCCTGCAAAAATTTTAACAAATTACATTTAATGTTTTAGGAGATTTTACACTCTTTCATTGTATGCAAATGTATGATCACTTTTATAAGCCAACCTCTCTTAAGTACATTAAAAATCCAAACATTTTAACTGAATTGTGAACTCCAGAGGTCACATTACTGCAAAATTGTGCTTTTTTATTACACAAAAACTTATGCCTGTATGGAAAAACTGGTACACCAACCATATTATGTACATTTTTGTTTTTATTTACATACATGTCTATGGCAGAAGTTCTTATACATCAAATTCCATACATCACTTGATACAAGGCCTGTCAAAGTTTTTTTTCTCTGTTGATTTTTTTACATATCTGACAGTCAGCTGAGTATTGGTGACACCAACCAAAAATTAGCCAGAACTATGAACAGGCCATCTGAGCAGACTAAGTACACAGTTTTTTCTTGCTTGTCACCACTAAATGTGAAGACACATGAAGGCAATTAATGGTTATCATTGCATTCATGGTCCACATTTTTTAAAACCCCTAATGTGACCTCTGGGACACATAAAAATATCGAACATTTCAAGCCAGACATATATTATATACATATGGCTATCAGTTATTAATTGCTAATCTACAGAATTACTGAAGTCAAATTAACAGGCCTAAAAAAACAACCTTTTCCATAAAATATATTTTTCTATAACAGCAAGAAATCACCCAGTTTTTCATTCATTTTAGATATGATATTTTACATGTTAAATTACATTTGATTAAATTCAGCATTCCAATTTTTTCTGAATGCTTTTCAACTGGAAAATACTATATAAAGAAAATTACAAAAATTAAAACATAGAATAAGCTGTTGAGCAAACCTTACAAAAAAGTTTATTTCAAAACCTCAACTGTAAAAAGCACTAAAGACAAAATGACAATAATAATAATAATAAATGTTACAAAAAAACAATTTGATTTAAAAAATTATTGTTTGCCAGTATAAAAAAAGAAAAACTGATACTTGAGATGTTGTACAAAATACTAAAAAAATCTTGGAGAACTAGGCTATTAGTGCTTCTGAAACATACAATCTAAACAGTCTTTTATTGAAACATAAAGAACACCAAATGTACACTATGCAGTCATGGAGATAAGAAAAGCAAAGCATTAATAATAATTTCTTTAGCTATTGCTTTTTGATTTTTTACAAGGCACTTTGTAATACATTATAAGGAAATATTTAATACAATAAATTGTTCAAATATGAACATCATAAAGACCCGCAACAGAGAACTGCACAGAGCCAGTAAAGGAAATAAATAAGTAACTTTTGCAAATTGATGCTTGAAAACTCTGGAAGCATGTGTTTTACTAAACTATTGACATAAAAAAGAAGTTACAAACTGAAAGCAACAAGTTCTAAAATAAATATTAGTATATCTAGGTTTCATGTAATGGCAGCTAAATGACTTTTTATTCTAATTTCAATAGTATGTCCAGCTTCACCTATTTAACAGTTTCAACTGCAAAAAACACAGGAGGTCATGCACATGATATTAAGGTATAAAATATCATTGGAATCTTTAAATGCTAGCTACCATAGATATAAATTTATTACAATGAAAGAAATTCCGTGACAAAGCTAGTTTTGAATGTTTGGTGCATAAAACATAACAATCAAAAAAATTGGAAAAAATGTGTCATCTCAGAATTAGCAAGATATTTTATATTATTTAGTTATCAGCAATTAAGTAACATGTGGTGACAAAAGTTTCAGTGTCTCGTTATTGTGATAAATATTTATAGCTATTTAACCTGATAAAAATTTAAATATTCAAATTTATTTTAAAGTACAATGTACTCTAAAACATTCAAAGTCTTTCATTACTACTATATAATGAACTAAGTCTAGATGTTGGGGTAAATAAAATGCTGAAATGCCACCAATACTTAGTGGGAAATCAATTTTTGCAATATTAATATACATAAACTTAATCAAGGTATCCTGACTATTACAATAATAGCATTATCAAAAAGGCCTCTATCATAACTTTTTGAACTGCAAAGTTCTGATTATCAACTCACAAATGGGTATTATTTCCACCTTTCATCTGTTATGTAACGTTTTCTGTTGTACATCTCAGAGTATAGAAAACTATCTATTAATACTTACTTTTTGCTTGTTCATCTCATCTGTGAAAGCTGTAAAAAAGTAGTTCTATCTTTTCCTATATTTATTTTAACATATATTGAATGTGTTTGCACAGTTCATACTGAATTGCTCAGATCAGTCTCAAGGACTTTTTAAGCACTCTCAGAATGTTTTGCAAGCACTTTTTGGAAACTAAAATCTACATCAAAATCAATCATATTCCACTGAAATTCGATAAAATTCCTATTTATTTGTCCATCATATGAATGTAGAATAAAAAGAAAAGAACAACTATTTATTGCACTCAACTCCGCAACATGCATTAAAGTTAGATATATTGATATATTCTGCTATTATAATAGTTTCAAGTACTTTTGCAAAAAAAGCTCCTTTTCAAGGACTTTCAAGAATGCATATGCATCCTGTATATGTAGAGGACTGAACTTATGTTTGCATCATGTCATATTCTGTGTATACTAAACTAACAGGTCATTTAAGGGTCATGTATTTTAACTTCATATTCAAAGAAGTGCTGTAGATTCTTTTCTTAGTGTTTTATAGAACAAAAAATTATTCCATTTCTTACAGTTGACTTAAACTTCAAATCTTGCAATTAAAACCAGATAAAAAAATATTAACTTACAGACACTTGCAGTGACTGAAATATGTGCATTTCAGAAGGATTATGGTCTTTATGTTTTGGGTCACCGACAACAATAAAAATAACTATATTGTTGTACAGTTCTTTAGGATCACGACTGGTAAAGTCAGTTGGATCACTAATCAAGTTCATTGGAAACTTTTCCACAACATCCTGGAAGAAAAAGAAATAACGGAATAACAATTTTTCTTGCCTATTTTTTGTCAAAATAAAAATGCTCAGGATTAATATTTTAATAATAATGTTAATATTAATGTTACATGAAAGTAATAAATAAAAAGAAATACTACATAATAAAAATAACCTGCAATTATTTCTTGCTCCTTGGATTTGACGCAAACTCCAGCAGCCCTATCTTTGTTACATGACCAATTTCTTATTGACAATCTTCAAATGATTTGCTTATTGAGTTTTAAAATTTAATGTTATCAAGTTATACCTATACCTAGTTTTTAAAAATAAGAAAAAATTACATTCTCACATTGGTGTGTCAGAAAATTTTAAGATCTGCTTTTTTTTTTCCTTCAAAAGTTATCTGTCATATTTAACTTCATAAATTACAAAAATTCCCATAACAACTGAAACTGGACCTTCAATACTGCTTCAGAAATCTAATTTTTTTCTGTAGTCATTACTATTTATTTGCTTGTTTTCTAATATTTGCAAAACATATCAAGTTACTATATATCAAGTGGCCAAACATCCAGAAACATTCTATAAACATGACAAAAATTTTGCTATGATGGATTTTTCTAGCCTAACAGGTTCTGCTGTAGTACTAAGTGAGCACCTAATATCTACTGTTATCATTTATTGTTATAACATTTAGTATCTCTAGGTACCGTTTAAAAAGTTAACAAAACTTTAAGCTGTCTCATTATATACTCTTTCACTATGAGTTTTTAATGCTGCTTACTACTTATGTTCTTATTATAAAATGCTAAGTTGTTTTTTACAACTAACTACAACTGATGAAATATCCTAAATATGCATTACAGCAACAACAAAAAAGATAATCAAAATTTCTTACTCCATTCTCATAATCAATAATTACAAGCCATCTCTTGTCTAACTTCATCTGCATCTTTTGGGTCCAAATTCCATTGGTTTTCTCCATTTGAAATAAACGTCTCAACCCATCTTTTGGGGTCTCTAAACCTAGTATATCAAAAATGATGATTTTTGAAGAAAAAGGTCACAAACATGATAAAAATAACTTACTTGAAATTAAAATATTTCAAATGAAATACTTATCACTTAATCTGAGCTTTACTATTTAATATCTATACAAGTGTTCCATGGTTCAATTCATACAGAGGTTATTTGTACTTAAAAATAGCTTTATGCAAAATCTTACAAGGACAAGTTAGTGAGAACAAGAATAAATGGTGTTTTAACAAGTTATACTTTTTTTCTTTGTCTGAAGCACGTGAATATATTTGCTTCTTACTATTTCATTTGATTTATTAGCTTACACTCACAACAAACTTCTAGGTATGTGCAAATACCCTTATCATCCAAAAATCTGAGCCTAATTCCCTCAAAGAATGGCAAGAGCATTTTAATACAATCCTTCTGTTTTTTTTCTTTTTAGAATGAAATTATGATTTGAGCTCAAATTTATACTTTCACATAAATGCCAACTAGTTGGTCATGTCTGTTTTGTCTATGTTGCTAATAGGAGTCTGAGGTCATTATCATATCTTACATATCATTTTCTCAACATTACTATATTACAAGTTACAACTAACTAATACTGCAACTCAGATTTTATGGCATTAATTTTCACAATTTCATTCTCTCTCTCTCTCACATCAGTGATCATCTAAGTACTACTTCTTTATGAACCATCACTTCAACAAACGTCCTTCTCCTGCAGTGCAAGCTTTTTAACAATTAGCAAGTGATCACAATTGTAACAATAATGCACAACACTGTTAACATATGTTATTGTTGAATCAAATTTGGTAATCCCCATTAGAATCGAATATTCAGACACATTACAAGTTTCTCTGCCTCCTTTATGTCAATATTAAAAGATGAAATTTGATTCAATGAAATTCAGTTCACACTAACAAGGTATCACTTTTGTTGATTATGTAACTATTTATCTTACAAAATGGTCAACAATATTGCTTGATTTAGAAATAGCACTAGGTTATTTGTTAAGATCACTGAAGCATGGTTTCAATACAAATGATAAGGAGTTTCAATTCTGTTAATTAGTCTCAATCCAAGCTAAATCAATAATTATTTCCATTCTCTATTGAATACATACTTTGCATGAAAGCATTTGGCTGAATAAAATTATTCTAACTCTACAGGTCTGAGTACTGATTAACAGTAATCAGAAATAAACAGTAGTAACAGAAAGAAAGTTCAAGAAAGAAAGCCAAGACAAAAAAAGTGAAATTTACTATATAAAGAAAGTGAAAAAAATATTGCTTACAGTGATCACAGTATATTGCAAGAGGTAAAATGCTTGGTGCACACAGCAAACAAACCCTGCACAACAAGTTTGTCATAGAAATTACATATTTAACAGATCACCACAATGAACAGAAAATATACCATATATATCCACTACAGTGTTATACTTAAGGCCTTCAAGACACAACTCTCAAAACTCTACATGCAACCAGCCTTCAGTGAAATATTCTAGGAAATACAGTTATTGTTGTTTTCTGCTGTCACATCATCCAGGCAAGAACTAACAACATCTATTTAAGTGTATGTTATCACACACACACACACACACAACAAAAAACATTTATAAATTTATATAAAAAACATCTTTACCATAGTGTATTTATACACTTTATATAAATCATGCATGCCTGGGGAAATATCTGGGGGAATAACCCACACTATTCTTTTGTAGCAGCTATATGTACCTTTCAACATTTTTTTTTTTTTGTGGATCAGATAACTTCTGCAAATGTTGGGATAAAGTCTGCTACTGAAACACATCGTAACACTTCCAACAATCTGACAATTGTTACATTTGTCTTTTTCAAGCATACAGTGAGTTTTATAATTGTGTTGTATACTGTTTTTAATCCTGCATACTTCATATGTCTTATATTCAAATCTCCAGTTTCATAATTTCATATCCATGAAAATCCAGTTGAACATTTCTCATTAATAAAACTTACATTTCATAAACATCATGCTTCTATTACATTATTATTTTCAATAAATAGCAGTAATCCATCACGAAACACTTAAACTTATAACAATCCACATTCTTACTCAGTTCCTCTAATTACTTAAAATTTCACAAAGAGGGCAAAAAACGTACCAAACTGAGGTCCTACAGAGAATGTTGCTAAATGTTCCACTAAGTAGGCTGGTCCATCATCACTGGTGTCGCTGTGCTGATCTAATGAAAACAATCATTATTAATGAATTATTACAGTAGAAAAATGAGAAGTTGCTTTTCTTAACCAGCTTGTTAATCTGTAATGAAAATAAAGGATGAGACAAAACAGGAGTCTAAAATATCCTGTTTGGAGATAGTGGAAACAATCAGTAATATTTTCAGATGCTGAACCAACAGAAGAAATTGCCTTACTGTTGCCCATAGTGCTTCTATATAGACATAGCTAAAACAACAAGATGGTAACAAAAATTACAACCATTATAATTTCTTCCACTTTTTCACAGAAACAAAGAACATCCTTATTTGCAAAACTAGGCATTAAATAATATAAATGATGACAGGGATTAATTATTTTGAAACCTCAAGCACTAAACAGAGATCTGCGTGTTCTGAAATGCTTTTAAATCCTATTAAAAAAAGCAAAAAGTACAGCTTGCTAACAGATTAATCCTTGGTAAGCTCAACTTACCATTTTTTATTTTACTTTTAAACTTTTGATAACTCAATAAAATGTTTAAAATATTAGAGAAGCTTTCTTCTATTTCATTTCAATACAGTACCATACACTTCTGTTGGAAGTACAGTAGATACACACTACTAGTGTGAAGTGGCCATTAAGCTCTATACTCCAAATGGGAAACATATTCAAGACAACTCATGTGGTATTAAACCATACTTTTCCTAGTACCAGTCCTACTGATGGTTTTGAAAAAGTAATATATATATTATCCAAAACACTGAGAACATGAACAATTCAATTTTTGTTTCAAATTATAAATGTTTTAAAAATTGAATCCTGTTCTTAAATATAAAAGATATTCTGAACCACAACCATAGAGTTTCAAAGTTATGTGCAAGTTATATTATAATAACAAGATAAAAAACAAAAAATATTTATCATCACAAAAGGAAGACACAGAAAAGCATCTCACTAAACTCAAACAGATCAACAAAATATATTCCTTTTAATTTTTTTTTTACCAATCCACTACTGTTATCTTAATTTTTTAACCCTCACACAGCTTTATCCTTCAGAATGTCTCAAAATTACAATCAATTTGGAAACTGGTGCCTTAATGCTTTCAGTGCCAATTATACCTTTGTTGTGGTACACATAACTCATGGAGAGCAAAAGAGTTAATGTGTGCATTTTAATGATTTAACCCTAAACCAATACATATATTAGTAACATTTTATCAGTGTTTATACAAAATTACATTCATGTTGAACTAGATACCTATTGAGAGTTTTTAACTGAAGATCATTAAAAATTATTAGTGAGTTAAAAAATTTAAAAGAATAAAGTTATTCATAAAGAAATAATTTTGCGATGTGTTGATTAGATTTATATCATACATAGAAAACAGTGAAATTATATATAACCAATGTTCTTCTGAAACACTTACCTGAACTGTAGCCATTAGAATAAGACGATCTGGCTCCTCTCATCTCTGGATCTTTCATGTGGTGTGGGGACATACCTTGATTACTACATGAAAAATTAAACTCTGTAAGGTGAAAAATATACCCTGTAACATAACATTATGTTTCACAAAGTGAAGATGATGATATAAAAGTTAAGACATGACACACAAACTTCATTAGTTGTTAAATAAGTGCAACATATCTTTATTCATCAATAGCTCAATTCATGAATGGCATCATAATGTATAGTTACATTTCTGCACTACTGGTAAGAAACTAATATAAAAACATTGCATATTTGCCTAAGTAATATATTTTGAAATTACTTTTGTTAGTGGCAAAAACCTTATTTTCAAACATGCTTCCAGAAGCAATTAATATATCACTGTTAAAAATATGGGGGCAGCATAATTTGAAATTTTCTTTACTCAGTGTCAATATGCAATTAAAAAAATATCTTTTGTATTAGAATTAAAATATAATCCCCACATATTAGCAGATATTTCATTATTATCTGCCAATTTGCAACTTGAAAAAAAAAACCATCATACTAAAAATAAAACCTAAAATAGATAAATGAACACAAGGTACAAGATTTTCTTTATTAATTGCCAATTAGGATAACACTAACACAAAGTACAGGATTGTATTTATTAGTAGCCAACTAGGATAATACTAAGACAAGTTACAGGATTTCATTTATTAACTGCCAATTATGATAATACTAAGACAAGGTACAGGATTGTATTTCATAATTGCTAATGAGCATACTACTAGTGCAAAGAACAGGATTTTATTTACTAATTACCAATTAGGATAATACTAATACAAGGTACAGCCTTTTAATTACTAATTTCCAATTAGGATAATACTAACACAAGGTATAGGCTTTTAGTTATTAATTGCCAATTTGGATAATACTAACACAAGGTACAGGATTTTATTTATTAATTGCCAATTAGGATAATAATAACACAAGGTACAGAATTCTATTTACTAATTGCCAATTAAGATAAAACTAACACAAGATACAGGATTCTATTTACTAATTGCCAATTTAGCAATTTGAAAAACTAGTGTGTTGCCAGAAATAAAATTTAATATTCAAGAATATTAACATATGGTAAAGGATTTGCTTTATTCATTGACAATTTAGTAATTCAAAGAATCATTTCTTAAAAAGAATTGTTTTAAGTTTCATGTTTTTACCCCATAAAAATTTAGAAAATTCAAAATCATACTTTGTTTTTACTCAAGTATGGTTTATAAGTATCCAATGTGTTGTTGCTATTTCAGTTAAATGGGAATGGAGCACTAACTTAGCATGAATCACTAACAACTCATACCAACATAGCATTACACTGATTCAAAATAACAAAGGCTGTAATATTCTGGCATTTTATGTGTTTTCTACCTCCTTAGCTGCTATATACTTCTTCAAATTTTTAGTGTTTCAGCATTTATTCTTAACATAGAACACCAGTCAATAAAACTACTAAGTTCCCTCATCTTGGTTATTCATGGGACTGCTGAGTCATAAAGACTGTTATATGTTTTCCTTTAGAATAGATCACTGTAGTATGAATTATGTTATGAATAGAAGCAGTGGTCTGTTCTAGTGGCAAGCCATAGGATGGCCTATAGTAACCACCCCTTGTTGTCATTAGAGTGGCCCTCAGTCATGTGTATCTATGGAGAGAACTTTGAATATAATGTATTGTCTTTCTTTCTTTGCCAGAATTTAGTCAAACTTACAGATTGGATAAGAGAATTGTGCAAGCATTCTTAGAGATGAAGAGATATTACTGTTACAGAGATTTTTGTTCCTTTGTTGGAGATATTCTTCAAATACATAGGTTATGTTTAGCATAACTCTGACTAGCATAATAGAACTAGTTACACTGGTAAGAGAGTGTAAAGTTCTTTCTCTCCCTAGTCAACAAACAAACAAGCACTTGTTAAAGCATTTTAACTCTGAATTTGACTTTGTTTTTGTATAATAAAGATTTTAATTGTCTAAACTTTATGCCTAGTTTCTTTTGTGTAAAGACTAAGTCAAAAGCAGAGAAAAATACAGACCCTACTAAGTAATACAGGATCTGATGAATTATTCTGTTTGTGTAGTTCCTGCAGGTTACTCTAAAAAAAAAAAAATCAATGCAACCTGAGAACATCACAAGGCCTTATACTGATTTTCAATAACCCTATTTTCCACTGCAAGTAAAATTGTTTAAATATTCAACCAGTTCCTGAAAAAAAGATCCAACTATTTTTGGTGATTATGCAACATTATTATCAATAATCATCCACACTGTTTGACATAGCAATGGGAACTGACCTCTTCTGAGATGCATAGCCCTAGATAGTTTAGCACTCTGGAACTGGTCCCATGCAAAGATTTAGGACTTTTCGGATGGGACCAGAATAATTAACTTAAAGCAACTTACTGAAGGTTATATTGGTTTAAGCATGAATTCCATAATCGCTTTTATTAAAATGATACTTCCCAGTACATTACATAAATCATTGTTGTAATATACATTTCAATTTAGGTATTACGGAGTAAAACATTTCTCTAGCAATAATGTTTCAATGCAATCATATCACTCTAACTTCTTTATATTGTAAATAATAGTAAGATTTATAATTATATTTGATTTTGAACTTCAATTGCTTGTTTTTCTAAACTGTAGCATTGTAACTAATGCAGTCCAAAGCTGTACATATTTCTAATTTACAGTACTGAATAGTTGACCATAAATTACACTTTCACTTATTCTAATTTTAATTTGTGTTATCTTACAACAACATAGGATCAGAATTTAATAAAATTTTTCATAACAATGCAAAAAAAATACTTGTTCAATTTTGATGACCTTGTTTTTCCAAACAAATAAAACATTGGCTTAAAAGAAGTAATATTGGCAAACATTTTGATGATAAACAATAGTGATGGAAAAACACATCACCCAGAAAGATTGAACAATATACAAAGGTGTACACAGATAAGAAAAAGAATTTATAATATAATATTTTCCTTCTAATCATGTGCTGTGCCTTCCAGATTCTGTCTTCAAACTAAATAAACATCAAAATTTCTGGAACTGTCATACCATAAAGTCTAGTTGGAGCATGAATGTCATGATGGATAAGTTCACAATTATTATGAAGTTAATTCTAACTGTACTAATCTGTTTATAAGTTGTTCTCCTTTTCTTCTGTTAAAACATGAGTAATAATAATTGCAGTAAAATATTTTATAACAATAAAGAGAGGGAAGCTGTAAGTTTGGCATCATATTATAGATAACAAATTTTGCTTCTGCTAACTAAACATTTATGAGATAAAATACTTTCTGGAACAATTAAAACACTAAGTATCAATGACTTCAGATAGCAAAATGTAACAAATTCTAATTCTACTAGAACAAAAAACAAAACTATAATTACCTACATAATAAGTAAAAAAAAAAAGCCAACTTTGAATTTATATTTTAACATTAAGACACACTGTATCACTTACACAAGCACATTAAATAATTCTAACTTACTCTAGTAAGTTTCCAACACAAACAAGAGTCGAGGCTGATCTATATACATATAGGAATAGCAACTAATATTAACAGTATGTATGTACCTTCTGAGATAGGTGAAACTTTGACTTTTAACTCCTTCAGTATTTGTTTTTTGTTGTTTTTTTGCACTAACAAAAGTTCTATTGATATTTTATACTTTTATTTCTATGTTTGTTTGTTTGTTGTTGTTGTTTGATAGCCCATTGTGATATATGATAATGCACGAATAAAGCTGGGCAAATATTTAAAAATACAGTGAATAATGGTTTGCCTGAATTAACTCAGGCAAATATGTTTTGAAATATTTAGTGCAACCAAGTTATATCTACAAATCACAGATGTTAATGGGAAAATGATTCAATAAAAACTAGAAATTAAAAACTGGATTATAAAATTATTGAAAAAAGATAACATTGCATTTCCTTGGTATTACCTGTCCCAAATATAAACACAGTTTTCTCTGACATCATTACTGTATTTGTTTTTAAGATGTTTTTTGTTGTCAACATAAATACTAAGTTAAATATTATTATTCATCACCCAGTGAAGTTTTCCAATTAGAATGATACAAGTATCCTGGTTCATGAGAGTATGACCTAAGGCTAGGTACCTGTTTCTGTTGGATTACGCACAACTACATCACTGATGGGTGTGCCTTGACCAGCTAGTAAAAATGTAACTTTCAACTACAGTAGTTTGTGTTCAACAATCAGTCTTTCTCAGATTGTTGTGACACTAACAAAAGTTATGTTGGTATTTTATACATTTATTTTTATGTTTGTTTACTATACACAAATATGGTAAACTTCTTGTTTCTTAAAAAAAATTATAAATACAACATAAGTACTTCATTTAATTTTAGTTCCTAGAAACTATTTTATTTCAGGATTTATTTTCTTATGAAACTAAAATTCATATGGAATTTTTTTTTATGGAAGAATATGCACCAAAAGGAATTGTTCTTTTATACTTTTCTTTAATGTGTAGATTTAAGAACCAACTATTATATAAATCTCAAAAGACCATTAAACAAGAAATATCCAATCACATTTGAATAAACAAAGTTACAAGAATAATAATTCCATCTTCTATCAAAGTAGGAAGAATTAATACCAGTAAATCACATGTGTTTGCAAAGATAATACTTCTATATTTCCACATATTTTACAGAATAAAGCTCCCAGCAGATCATTTGTGTCTATTTCTGTTGTTCTTGTTTAACACCAACTTCAGTCACATTACACTGAAGTTATTAAAGAATGTTTCTTTGAATTAGATATACATGCAAAGTCACACAAAAGCTATCCCATTAGCCATCCCCAATTTTGAACTGACAGATTAAAGGAGAAAAAGCTAGTCAACAGAACCCCCCCACCAACTCTTGGGCTATTCTAGTCAAACATTAAAATTTGACTGTCACATTTACAATGTACTCATGGCTCCAAAGTATGAAAAATAATATTAAAAGGATAAAATTCAAGGAGCTTGTGTACGTATTTAAATTATTAAAATCCACAAACGAACAACGTTTTATAATACACAATTAAAATCTATATTTAAACCAATCAAAAGTTGTAAATGTCACTACATGTTTAAACATGGTTTCACGTCATCTTCAGGAGTGTGAAAAACAGTTACCATGTACTATATAAGTACAAAAGTCATGGTCATGTGACTGCTAGTTTTCAATTCAAAAAAGATCTCGCCATCTACATACTTTCTGATTTTCTAACCCTTCATCCTTATTTAAAATCAAATTGTTTTTGCTGTGTTTCATTATTTCAGCGGTTCCTAACTACTGCACAGTGATAATAATTTAGCTATGAAACAATATATCTGACTTTAGCTGGTTTATTAATATATCCTTATGTTTAATGAACACTAAAACTTTAAAAAACAAAACCTACATTAGACATATTAGCATGCTAAAGAACACTCAAGAACTACCTGCATGTAAAAAAAACTTACATTTACAATATAAACCATGATAAAACCTACGCTCAAAAATACACCACTATATTTGGAAGTTAATACACACGCTGTTTTACGTCAACTGGCTTTAAGCCTACTTATAACACCTGCGATGTTTCATAAAACCTGTAACCACCAGTACAGCTCAGCTCAATCCCTTGTTATTACTCCTACCACATCTGTATCAATCATACCTGATAAAAAAAACCAAAAAACATTTCTACCTAAAACTAAATGTCGTATTTCCATGCGTATTAAAATCAAATTATCCAACAGATATTAAACACAACTAATGAAAACAATAAACCTAAGTATCAAACATTTCGCGAGCAAGCGAGATAAAGATGACGTCGGTCATCTTTCCAAGTTCGGACCACAAGTTGCCACGCGCTTTCTGTTCAAGGTCAGACGTGGGTGCGAACTTGTGTTTAGTTTTGTGTATATTGCCGAACGCCCTTTCGTGTAAGGATTGGTAAACTGTTTTTTTACCATAAAATATTAGCTTCAAACTTTCTATTTGTGTAATTCACTTCGAGAATGCAAAACGCTTACAATACACACTTACTCAATTGATGCATAACCATCAAGAACACTTTTTTTAAATATGGCATATAAAACTTTCGTTACTTTATTAACATCATATTGGTGCTTTAGAAAATGCCAACAATGTCTTTTTTTTTTCGGACTGTATCTGCCAGAAGTGTAGAAGCGGGCGACGTTTCGGTTTTTGAGCTTATGCCTTATCAAGTCGCAGAGTAGGCTAAAGCATAATATGCGAGTCATTCGTTATCGATCTGATAAGGCATCAACTCGGTGACAGAAACGTTTTCCACTCCCATAAACCAAGCAAATACGATTCATGTTTTATTCATATATAATACAGATTAGTTTCATAAATATCGTACGGTGCTCCTTTTACCTAACATAAAAAATTATATCAAACATTCACTCAAAACAATTAGCGAAAACAATATTATGCGATACAAGTTTACCCGGATATAAGCTACCTTAGACGTTTGCTATGAACGAATTAATGATCGTTTCACAAAAATACGGGTGTCCAGAAATTGTAACTATGGCTTGAAATTTAACGGATTTCTCCAAAAGCCGTGAACTTGAATTGTAAAGTTGGTAGACATGTTTTAAAGTGAACTGCCATGTACCTTTTACACCTCGAAACGTCCTACATATCGAACATGGGCCATTCGTATCGGAAATAATGTTCTCTTTCACAATAACTCACTTCACGAGATGCATTGAGTCCTTAAATACGGAGTCTGAAGTGGTCAAGTTAACCTGATCTATTCGTATAGATCAGTGGTTCCCAACCTGGTGTCCGCGAAGGTAACACCGGGGGTTCGTGGGCTATTTTCTTTAATTAAATAATGCATGGAAAAATACAGAATAGAAACACGTAAAACGCTGAGGCTGTTCTATAACTGTCACAATATTTTTTGCTCTCTAAGTATGTTGGGTAGACGGTATCTTTCAAAAAAATTGGGTCCGTGGGGAGAAAAATAATAATAAAAGGGGTCCGTGGGTGAAAAGATTGGGAATCCACTAGTACAGACAGACAAAAGTCTCACAAAATAACTACATCCAATATCCTATGTCAAAAATGTCTTATTAATAATATCACTAAACTACAACAATGCTGTTGGAAGATTACGCACATATGTGCACCATGATGGGCATCCACTAGTTAACGGGGGAGGAAGAGAGGAGTAAAAATTAACAAAATCAATTAACTCATATTCATTTCTATTACATGTCACTGTGTATTAATTAATAAATCATATGACAACGCTTTATTATAAAATATTCACACATATGTAATTTACCTTTTTTTAATTATTGATATTATTATTAATGCATTAGAAACCTTTTCGCCTGAGCTAATTAATATTATTATTATGTGTAGCTATACTTTTGTTTTAGTTTAGTTTCTGATTTGTATTTGTCGTAAATTTTTATTTCAGTATGGAATCTGAAGCTGGAAGCACAGGATGTAAAAACCAGATGAACAAGACTCCCTAACCCCACCCCCATGGCATCAGCCCTGATGTACATCAGTCATATAGATTGACACTTATGTTTTTAAAACAGTTCAGCCAGATAATTGAGCTGGATAAAAGTGTTTTCTGCCCGTTCTTTGTTGGGTGTTTAATTAGCATACAGCATGAAATATCGTTACTACCCACGTAAGAAACAGGAAAATTAGCGCTTGGCACTCAATGTGATACATGCATTATACACCTAAAGCTTCCGGTGTTTCAACTGCAATGACGAAGCCCATGTCAGCACTTACCCACTAACAGGAGGAATAAACCCAATGTTATGATAACATTTGCTATAACAAAGAACATAATTTCTGTAATATGAAAGAAGCTGCATCTAGGTACATGGTTTAATATTTTTATTGTACTGGCTTAAATATCGGTCACCCATTATTCTCGAAAATTATATATAACACCCGGATTATATGACGTCATATTCAACAAGAGCCACATCTATAGGGAAGCTGTAATAGTGATTATTATAAAACTTTTTAAATAAGAGTGAACTATAATTTGGTTTAGAGGAAGCTGTCCCCTCCTGTCAATTTTAAGTGAAAACTAGGAATTCTTCATTATATTATTAACTGTTTAAAAAAGCAAATAAACTGGGCCTACTTTCGTAGCACCTGTTATGTAAAAAAAATAAATAATAAGCGTTGAAACTGAAACAATCAGTTACAACTGCGTTTAATGAAATTCACAAGAACTATATACTATAAGCTAGTTTCGTCAATTTTTTACAGGGAGCTTGCTAGAGCTGAAACAGCCCCATAATGTGTCTTAGCCTCCCCTGTAACTCCTACACCTAACAAAAAGTTCGAAAGTTTTTGTTTTACTTCCTAAACACTACAGCGTGTGTTCACATAAAGTATAATGTGCAGCCCCCTAAATGTTTTGCCTAGCCCACCTCATCCCCTTCACCAGGAAGAGGCCGGTGTCGCCTCTGCGTATCAAATTCTCAATTTCGTGACATAATTATTAGTGAATATAAATAAAGCTTTCAGCATAAAATTGAAATACGCTTAACAACTGTGGGTTCATGTACAAAGCCATGTTAAATCCATATTCAATATGATATTGCTAATTTTCCTAGAGAGTTTGTTTCTTTGTTTTTAATTATGCACAAAGTTACACAAGAGCTATCTGTGTTCTGCCCACCACGGGTATCGAAACCCGGTTTCTAGCGTTGTAAGTCCGCAGACATAACGCTGTGCCACTGGGGGCTTCCTAGAGAGTTGCCGCAAATAAAGATGTTAATTCTTTATCAAGCATTTTTCTCATTAAGATGAATTGATTCTCCATGTCCACAAGTAAGTTGTGGTTTTGTAGCGTAAAGCTACATAATGAACACTCTGTGCTCTGTCTATCCGCGGGGAACAAACCCTGGATTTTAACGCTGTAAGTCCATTAAGTATATTCGTGTTACCAGAATCATGAAAAGCTCGATTTCACTGTGCTTGGAAAACCGGTAAGTTTAGAAAAATGGGTATCTCTTCTTCTTAACTATAATATTAGTTTGGCTTAAGGGCACCAAACGTTCAGATGAATGTAAGTGAAATTTATAGATTTTAATTATGGATAAAATCTATCTTTTCTTGCAGAAAGTATATCAGTCAAAAAAATCGTAAACAATATATATCTATATGAATTTATCATTGAGATATATATAATCAGGTAAAGAACAAACGATATTATAAAAGACAAAGAACATTCGAAGAATAGCAACCAAGAAACTACATTCAGTTACTTGACTACTGTCTCGTTTATCAGTTCAAGGAGCATTTTACAGTATTTAAAAATACTTGTAATATCACGAAGACGTGAACTAGGGAAAAACATGACGAAAGAAGGCTCTACAGCGAAGTGTCGTACAGCTAACCTAAAGAAGTTTTAAAACTATTTTAGCATTATTTTCAACAACTTAAACTTTTTAAGTGCTCCAAGATAGACTGTGAGATAAGATTAAAGGAGTGGCGATACAGCGATACAATATGATTGTATTTATACACCGTCTGATAAGATTTATGAATCTTCACTAAATTTGGCAAGCTTTCGGAAAACACTATGTCTTTCGTATAGAAAAAAAATTATAATTTGTAATAGTGTTTTTGCTAAAAATTAATAATTGACTAAAGAAAGATGAGTATTGAGAACTACACGTCTTCATTTCTTTTATCAAAAACATTACATGCAAAGTAACATAATA